CGTGCACGCCAGGAAGTTTTCAAGACAAAGGGCACAGTGGAGCTCGATGCGTCTTCCATCCTCTCCATGCAAGATCGCTGGTTGCCTTTTCCCAGGACCTGGCACGAAATTGAGGTTATGGGTTGGAATGTTACCACAGCCAGTGCAATTGAAGTTCAAAAGGCGAAGCCACTGCACGGGCGGGTCGCCTCCCATTCCCCCGTGGAGCTCTGCTGGGTCTTCCATGCATCTCCATTGCCCACAAGGTCCGGCTCTGACTGTTTTGCCGGATTTGCTGGTGCGAACAAAATACACGCTGCTGTCCTCGGAGAGGAGCAGCCACTCTTTCCGGCCCTTGTGAAGCCAGCGAAAGCAGAGTGCCTGGTGGAAAGTCCTGCCTTGGCTGAAACCACAATTGGCTCTATGGGCCCAAGTTCGCTCTACACTTGCCAGGCTGCTTGAGCATCTTACCTGGTCTTCCAAGGCTGGAGAAACTCCACAGCCGGCTGTAAGAGGACTCGCATGAGGGAAGAGTTCCCCAAGCCGGGCTGCTTCGCCCTCCAGTCGGGCCGTGCCTTCTTTCTGGCTCTCTGCATCGCAAGTTGGGTGAGATGACTCCAACCCGTCACTTGCTGGCAGTGAGGATCTCGACTGCACAGGTGCTCTGGACATGGCTCAAATGAAGGCTGTGAAAAACAGGCCTGGTACCCAAAACAGTTAGGGGACTCGAGGCTGGTTCACACAGCTACCGCTCTGCTACCTGTGCACCCCACCGGGGTTGAGCCGAGATCTTGAGCCAATCCGCCGGGCACATCTCCCCCTCAGGCTTGGCGGACTTGGCCTCCGTTTTGCAGAGACCGGCCGTTTGGCAACGTACTGGGCGTCTTGGGCCGACACACTCCCCGTCCTACGCTCCAGGCACCCCTGCTCAGTCGCGGAAACGTTGCAACAGGCCATCGTCGTCGCGCAAGGAGGCCCAGTACCCGCCCCTATAGTGTGGCAGCCTGGGTCCACGCTGTGGAGTCATTGCGGGCGCAGGGATTCCAAGCGCCACTGTGGCAGTCCTTGCTGGGCGGCCAACGACCGCCAGCCGTGCCCGAACCGCGCACACATGGCGACACACTGCGGGGATGGCAACGCGCCCGTGGCCTGCCAAGACAGGACAGCATGCGAGAGCCTTTTATCTGACTTCGATCCGGCCTCGCTTTGCTTCTGTCTGAGGGAGGCCCTGGTTGGCCGCGGGCTGTCACTGTGCTCCCCACGGCACCTGAGTTCCGCATGCTGAGTGAGTGCACGCGCGTCCTGCCGCTCCGACGCCTTGGAGCGCCCTTTCCCCATGCCCCACGACGCTGCCGTTGCGGTGGGGATGTACCGCTGGCGGATGCCCGCCGCATCGAGGTACTGGCAAAACAGCCTCCCTCTCTACCAGGGAGCGCAAGTCGCGGTTGACAACACGCTCGTGAGCCCACGGCACGGCTCGAGCGAGGGCAGATCGCGAGCCACGAGCGGCCGCTTCCGACGCGGCTAAGCGCCAAAACACCTACCCGGAGCTCTTGGCGGCCCGCCGCTGCAAGCTAGTCGTCGTTGGGCTGGAGGTGGGCGGGAGGCTCACGGCGGAGACGGTCACATTCCTCCGCCTGCTCGCCGATGCCCGTGCCCGTGCGGCCCCAACACGACTGCGGCCCGCCACGCGCCAAGCTAGCGTCCACAGATGGACGGGTCTGTTGGCGGTGGCGGCGCAGCACGCGTACGCCTCGTCGCTCTTTGGAGCAGGGCGAGGGCGACGCGCCTCCCTTGGGTGACTTCTTCGCACCGGCTCGCGAGGCTGAGCAGGTCTCCGACAGCCGCCTCCCCGCAGCCTAGGAGAACATAGGAACCCCCCGACCTGGACACCCTCCTGCGGTCGCAAAAAGGAGTGGCCAAAGAAAATTAAAAACGAGGTTTGTCCTTCATTGTTCATTATCGCACCTGGTCCTGCGTTGGTTATCAAGGATGGCGCATGGAGAGCACAGGGTGTCTGTAAATTCGCGGCCGGTTGCTACAACTTGCATCTCCAATACAAACCTGGCACGTCGAACCCACCAGAAGACAAACCGACCTGCATGTCGAAAACCTGCATCGTCGAATTTTGCATGTTGACTCCCAAATCTGCATGTCGACCTGGGGTATCTCTAGACCCTGCCGCCAAGGTTCGAGGTGTTCAATATCCAGCAGCAGAACGCCATTACGGCAACTTCTTGAAATACGGGAGCCGACAAGGCTTGCCAGGTCAAGACAACATGCCCTCAACTTGGTTCGTCACAAGGCCTCGGATGAGCAAACAAGTTCGCTCAAGCTTTGCCAGAATGCATCCTCTTCCGTCTCATGGTCCGAAGGAGCATCTATTTCCGAAGCCCCGAAACCACCCAAAAACACCACAGATATCTAGGTACACCCCTCTAAAGGCAGGCATTTTTTCCCGAGGAGGGCGGGAGCTTCGCGCCAACTGACTCTCTACACTCCTGAAACCCTGAACCCTAAACACATACACCCTAAACTCCCGAAACTCCGGAATCCTAAACATGTGAAACCCTGTGTTTCTTCCGTGCTTGTGTCAGAAGCTGGTGGCTGTAGCTGTTGGAGGTCTGCTGCTGTGGCTTGGTGCGGCGGCTGCTGCTGGGTTGTTTATCCCTGTTGTCCAAGAACATCTTGTACCCACCGTGGATGTCCCAATCTGGTTAGTCGTGGCTGACCTGGGTGACCTGGGTATTGGGCCAGGAAGGTAACGTCGAAGGTGTCGAAGTCGCCCCATCGGTGTCCAGGTTGGCGTTCACGGGGGACGTGAGCGTACAGACCATCGTCCAGGGGGTGCAGGTAGACTTGCTCCGCAACACCTGGCTCCAACAGTCGGCGGTGCAGTTCGTTCCGGCTTCGATAGACGTTCTTGGCGTAGAGCTTGGTAGTTGGGGTTGTCCAGGAGGTGCTGGTAGTTGCGAGCGTGACGTAGACCTTCTCCGGTACATGTAGTAGGGCTCGTGGACGTTGGTGTTCTCCCGGATCTCGTTTTCGAGCTCTCGCACGTTGTAACCGAGGGCGCTCTTGACGTGGCTCTTGTCCCGGAACGTGCGGTCGGGCTGTTCCACGTTCGAGAATGCGACGTAACCCTTCGCCCGGTGCGTGTAGTAGGGCTCATGGTCGTTGACGTTCTCCCGGATCTCGCTTTCACGCGCTTGCACGTTGTAGCCGAGGGCATTCTTGGCGTACTAGTAGCTCTTTGTCCCTGAACGTGGTCGAGCTGTTCCGCGTTGGCGGCGTTGAGGGTCCCCGGGAGGTACTCTTAGCGCTGGTCCTAGGCCCCCCCGTTGTCAGTGTTCTCTCGGTCGCAGGTCTGCTCAGCGTACTCCGAACCCAACGGCCCTAGTCGCCGCCAGTCCGTTTGGATCGTTGCAGTCACTGGGGGGAAAAAGATGTAAAAGTCGCCGCCGCTTGCGTTTCCTTGGGGGAAACGACCACGGATGTAACCTCATCATGTTCAGAGGTGTACTTTGGCTAAGCGTTCCTTCGAGATTTACATGATTTCGCAACGAATTCGCTGCTTTTGGAAGCTGTAAATTCCATGCGTTCATTGGGGAAGGGATGCTGCGGCGCTGTTAGTAACCCTTGCTCTCGGCTGGAAATGGCGACCACAGCTTACGCACTCCGTACGCGAACCTTACGCGCAGCTTGCGCGGCCGCGCCCTGTGCCGACAAAAGGTGGCTCGAAGACCAACGCTCGGCACGCGGTGGGCATCAACGCTCGGTGCGCGATTGTCAGGTGTGGGCGGCTCGATCAACGAGGTGCGATTTGTGGGAGTGAGGATGTCAAACATGCAGCTTTTCACTGCGTTTAGATGGTGCTAACATGAATGTTCGTGCATCTGGATGCGGCGTTTCGCTGCCTTTAGATGGTGTTTGAATTGGTTTTTCGTGCATGTCGAAGTATGCAAAAAAGTACGATGTCGTAGATGCATCGTTTCGCTGCGTTTACATGGTGTTTTGCATGTTTTCGGTGCATGTGGAAGGCTGCAAAAACCCACATGAAACGTGTGCTGGTAGCGCTGGTGGAGGGTCATCTTCGGGTCGGCCTTCTCCCGGGGGTGCTGGTCGCTGCCCGGGTCGTAGTCAAAAGCGTGGTTTCCCCTCTTGGGGGTCGAACATGCCGTGCTCGCCCATCCCACAACAAAAAAACAAAAAATGAATAAATCCCACAGCCAACAACTCATCCACCACACAGCCATTGCTCCGTGGCAGTCAGTGTAGTTGGCCGCGGTCTTCCCTGAAGCACGACCTGCCAAAAAATATGGCTCCTTCCCGGCAATGACATGGCATGTGATGCTGGCGTGCATGACATAACAAGCGTAAACGTGCATAAGGCATCTTGCCCGCGCCCGCTGCGGAGGGGATGGCTTGCCAGGCTGCCGTGGGCGAGTCGAGTAGGGTATTGCACGATACCAGCTGTCAGGCACCGAAGCAAAAACTCTGCAGACGCAGCGCATTCTGAACAACGCCTTTTCTTATTCTGATTCCCCGTCCCTATGAGCAACAGCATTTTGTTTCCGGCGTCCGGACTTGTTTACCTTATTTGAAAGAGTGTCTAGTCTGCATCCATTTGCATCCATACAGTATCGCGAAGAAGTGTATCCTGAAACCTTAAGCCACTGAAGTGGAGGTTGAAGCTCCGATTTGTAAGGAGAAAACCTGGGCCCGTGAGCACGTGGGCCCATGACGGGCCCGTGAGCCCTATCTCGGCCGACCTCCCTTCATCACTTGGGCCCGGCGTAGACTCGTCGATGTCGGCAGTGCCAGCACGAAGTTTCGAAACCAAGCAGTGCACCGCGATATCTTTGTGGGCATACAGCACGACCCATGGTGTGCGGAACGATGCCTCGATTGGGGATCATGTGTCCAACGGCATGCTTTTGACTGTTTGAGACCAGCTGCAGGCTGCAATGACCAAATACCTTTTTGGGACCATCAAGCCAAAGCACTAAATAGTTGCGGTGATGTTGCGCGGCGGCCCTTTGACCTGGGCCCCCATGCCCCAGCGGGAACCTCAGAGTGCCGACATTTGCACTGAGGGCGAGCCACTGTGTTTTCGCGAGATGCTTGCGACCATTCGCGTGCAGGCCGACATGGCCAAAGAAGCTGTTCCGCAGTTGCGCTGCGACAGCTGCCGTGATGGTTCGGTGCTCAGTTGATGTTCATGGTCTTCCCATCCCCCATCGCGAATTGAAGCTTGTGCAGGTTCTGGGCTCGCTTGCGAGTAGGCGCCCACAAACATTTGTGCTCACTGATGGCGAAACACTTTATGCCGCGCATCGTGACATGGAGGACTTTTTCTCTGCTGAATGTTGGAAGTGTTGAAAAGTCGGCCTTGGGAAGCCGCACCCCCGAGGTCGGTTGAAGACCGTGACTGTTCACAGCTTTTGGTGCAGCTCACAGGGTAAAGCCCCTTCAATCGGAACAGGTGTCTCAATTATATGGCGGGCGATCGGCTCCACCTGAGGCAATGTTCTTTTGCTGCGCTGGGGAAAGCTGTTGCAGCGGAAAACGCATAAAACTTGGATGCCCGTGGCAGGCCACCTTTGCTTCAGGCGCTCCGCTTGTGACATTCGGAGTTGCGGCTCTCAACGGCGCCGCCTTTGTACAGTCCTAAGGTGTTACTTGGGCTGCGTAGGGCAATATTTGTTGTGTTACCCTCTTAGGTGCTGACACGCACGAACAGAGGGCACACGTCAGGGCCGTCAGGGACTCGAGAGACTTTTGCCTCTTTGCAAAAAAACAAACCCTGTGCTCTCCCCCAGGCCTGCCACCATCAGGGCAGCGGAAGAAGTTGAAACGCCCAGCCCGCCTCCGAAACCGAAGAAGGCCTGAAACCCGTCGACAATTTCAAAGCATGCACCACGCAGGGACTACTTGCAGACTGTCAGGTGCGGATCACTGCTTTTGATGCCATTCGTTTTTTCTTGATTGCATACATTGTGCAACCTGGCGGCACGAAGTTTGAGTCAGACATTGCCAAGATCTCATGCGGAAGCACGTGGGGGGCCGAGGTGCGGACATTTCATTTCTTTCGCCGCGCCAAGCCCCTTTGCATTCAAAGCCTGTCTCTTGGGGCTTTGCTTGTGCACGCTGCGATCATGTTATTATCATGTTACTATCATGTTATAATGATAATAAAAATAATAGTAAGGTTATTGTACTGCATGCTGCACCTACTGAGGCCATCTCACAAATCAACGTTGTTGTTGCCTTCTCAGGGGTGCATGAGATTGGCTACCAGAAAGGCTGTCATTATGAATATGATTATTATTCTTTTGATTGTTATTGTTATTATTTTTTTATTAATGCATCAAGGTCGGGGCGTTCTTTGCATTGAGCGGCTACGTGGCAGTTTTGTGCTTGGACTTAGCTTTGGCTTCAGCATCTGCAGCAGCCCACACCCTGAAAAAGGCATATACAACAACGGAAAATGCCGAGCGAGCTGCGAGCCCCAAACTGCTGGACACGCTGCGGACTCGGATCGCAGGTCCCAGCTTGAGGCCATGCACATTTCAGGGATACAAGATCTTGGAACTTGTTGCGTGTGCCTTGCTGCATCAGACTTGGCTTGAAGCTACAGCGCTGGCCTCCGCATCCCGAGCGCAGCAAGCAGCACGCAAGGTGCACAAATTGAAGGCATGACACGAAAACACTACTTGACTGGAGCGATCATAGGTCTATACTGAGCTCAATGTAGAGAAGAAGCATACGAAACGTTGTTGTTGCAATTGCCGCTTGCTTTGAGCCGATGTCGCCGCGCATGCCCACTTGCTCGTTCAACTCGTTCACTTGTGGCGCACGGTGGCTGACAGCCACGCATTGACAGGTGCCATGCGCGCAGGGGCAGGTTGCATCGTGATGTTACCCAAATGCCATCGGACCGAAAAGCTAACCCAGAGTGAAGCAAGTTGAGCATCACCGCGCGAACCAAGCCTAACGTCCTAAAGATACCTTGTGGCCAGCATTCCCCGTTCGAGATGGCGCCTTCCTCAGCACAACCAAAAGCAGACAGTAAGTCGGTCTGCTAGCCCGCGCTCCTGCGTGCAGGCGACCTTGTCATGGGTTGTGCACAAGCTTTGGGGTGTCAGTGCGACAATGGCAATGACGAGTTCGCAAAGGCAACCGAGTTGTAGAATTGCAGCTGATCCCTTTAGCAAGCAAATTCGGAAAGCTTGCCTCTCCGGCATCGCAGGACTCCTTCGCACAAGCCTTTGCCAAAAGAACCCGGACGATGGCCTCCTTCCGAGTTACATCGTTTGAAGATCTGTCCCTGGTGTCCGAGGGAGGCAACGATGAAGCCATGGAGTTCGTGCGGCATTTTTACCAAGAGGCTGTCATGTACAGCACCCGCCCGTCGCAGCTTGTCAACGTCACAGTATGCCGCGGTTCTGTTGCTAGCACCCGTAGCAGCTGCATGACATGTTCAAGCCACAGAAACAAGGCAGGCGGCAACCCCTGGGCCTTATGAGTACGCCAAGTCCCAAGTGGAAGTCTTCACTTGTATGGGTGTGTGCTTTGCATGATCGAAACCCTTGCATGTGTCTGATGTCTACGTCTGCATGAGGATATGACGCTGGAGCATTTGCAAGAGATTGTTGGCAGATTGGATTTCAATGACTTGAAAGAAGGCGAGCTAAAGCGAATATACGCAACTGTGCAGCACGGGAACACATTGTGGTGTCATGCCACATACTAAGTAAGTGGGTCACGATTTCGTGCGCCGCATGTTTTCCAAGGAATCCATTCCGAAAAGCCCAGATGGTGCTGTCACAATGAAAGAATTTGCTGCTGCCGTGTTCTATGGACCTGCATGCCATACATTGCAATCCCTTGTGAAGAAGCTTCGATGCTTGCCTTTCCAGTACTAGAAGAAATAGGTCGGTTGGGGTTTTCAGATAACTTTAACAGGTTCTGAAAGATGATCAAGCAATTTAAGGACTGGGCTGCGATTCCGGCTTCGTACCGCCAGAGGAATATGACTTCATGACGTCGACCAGCGAGAACTACCGACAAGACCACCTGAAGTTCCACGGGCCCTTTGCCAAGTTCCGTGAGCTTTGTGACTACTCCTACCACGTGAATTACTCGAGGAGGCGCCAAGCCTGGCAGGATGAGGCGATCAAGAGCGTCATCTCAAGAGCTGTAGAGCAACCAGCCCCCTGGCTGGTCTATACCTGCGGGCCCATGGGCGTCGGCAAGGCTGGAAGAGATCCGAAATGTGGGGTCAGTGGCTTTAGATATCAAGACGGTTTTGGAAGTGTTGTAGGGCTTCTGACCTACGGCCTAGCTTACCCTACTTTGGCATGGTCCGCGTATGTCCACATATGTCCACATTGGGCGCATCATGCCCCCACACTACATCTCAGAAGTGCGCAGGGCGGTGCTGCAGGTCGGCCAGAAGAAAGCGTCATGCTAAAAGTCTAACGGCTTAATTGTAAGCGCACGCGAACGCGGGGTGTAGTACGCGCAACGGTCCTCGAAGGCGTCCATTTTCAAGCAGTCTTGCATCACAGGGGAAGGCAGGGGAAGACACCTCTCCCGACCACATGAGAGGAAGCAACTCCATCGAAAACCACTGGGCTCGAACTCAGATGGGTTTGTTTCAATACAACCCAATGGCTTCAACTTAACTGGCATGGCATCATGCAGTTTCTAAGCTCAACGCATCGTCACATTCTGCACGCATAGGGCTTCCGAATAAGCCCTAAAACCACAGGGCGGAAGGGGGATCCTGGACAAAGGGAAATGTGAGTTGGCCAGGACGGCAACAACACTGTTTGCAACCAAAGCATACCCAGTCCCACATCAGAATTGCGTCACGCGACATGAATCACAGCTGTCTGACAAATATCATGCAGTCGGTGTACTGTGCCAGATTTCAATTATGCCAGGGCTACGCTTTATCGTGGATGTCTCAACATGGCTTCTTCCCGCTTGAGAACATCGTCCACATTGATCCTGATGCTTTCAAGATGATGATGCCAGAATGGCCCGAGTATGTCGCTCGCGATCGAGACAAGGCTGGCACCCACTGTCACCTAGAGTCCTCGTTTATGGTCGAAATTGCACAATCTGCAGCCATGGAGAAGCAACAGAACATTTGGGTGGATGGTTCTTTGAGAGATGCGGACTTTTATCAGAAGGCTTTCCTGCGTATCCGTGAAACATATCCCAACTACAGAATATCCATTTTCTACATCACGGCTTCGGAAGAAACAATCCGCCAGCGCATACATCATCGAGCTGAGCGGACTGGCCGGGATGTGCCTGAGCATTTGATCAAAGCATCTCTGCAAGCTATGGACAAATCGCTCAACACGTTGACTCCGCTTTGCGATTTCGTGGCCCGAATCAACAATGAAGGCAAGGAGCCTACATTGGTGGCTTTCGAGACGGTTGACACGCAAGGCAACTGGGCTGTGATCAGTGATCGGTTCGCGCGGACTTATCACGACCCGGGCGCATTCCCACAGTCATGTCCTACGTTGAAGCTGCTTCCCTTGCACACGAACTTGACAGCAACAATCCAGAACCTCCACCACGTTGACACGCACAATGAGCTCTCACTTTGCCTGGACCTTGCTGTGACGGCCAGGTGTGATGCCGGCAAACTTTCAGAAATCTTTGGTTCCACTCTCGTGTTACATACCTCGGCCAGGCACGAGGTCAATGGACGGTATGGAAGCGTTCTTCCAGTCCCAAAAGAAGCCACGAGCGCATTCTGGATATATCCGTACCAGACCTCCACTGTCAGCTATTCACGACGCTTGCAAAGTTGCGATGGCCTTCGGGACCCGAACCTTCAGCTACTGGGCCAGCTGTTGCTCTACGGTGGCTTTGCTTACTGCAAGGATGATGAGGTTTGTTTGCTGCATGTCGCTACAAGCGCGAGCAGTAACATCCTCGTGCGATTTGGAAAGCCATTTTCAGTGAAAGCCGAAGCCATTCCCAAGGAACGCCTTCAGCAAGTCACAAGCCCATACTTTCAACAGCAGGGCGCCAAGCAATACTGCTGGCTGAGCCCTGGCCACGCCATCACCAGTGGGTCTACTTTGAGCCATGGCGCTTTCGCATACTTGATGGACGAGGGTAGTATATTTGTGTTTCCTGTTGCCTAGTGGGGATGTACTTGGACATAGATCCGACTTCTCCCCTTCGAAGCGGCTCAATGGCAAAATGCCAAATGCATAGGGCTGTCTATTCTCATAATTATTTACCTGACCACCGCAACACAAACACAGCCGAAGACTCGAAGAGTCACGGCCCTCATTGCGGTCAATGGAAGACTCGAGGCTCATAGACCACACCCCGCGCGCTGTCCGCACCGAAATGGCATTGCAATGGCGATCCGCCCTCGCTGCTTTCCCCCAGGCCTTCTCCGAAATGGATTCTCCAACGCGCAGCGCCCTTAAAGCCAGGAGAACACGGTTCGAGTTGAGCATCCAGCTATAGCTGAGGAGAGCTCGGTGTGTCGAAACACTTGGTCCCTCACCGCTTTCGGACATCAGGTTTTTGGCTACTTTCCACTGCACCTTCTAGTCCTCCTGCTATTCTCGTCAAGCTCTCAGGTGGAGCAAGGAAGGTCGAAGAGAGCGTGAATGAAACGACTCTTCCAGACTGTTCCAGACCCCCCAGGCCGGCGTTCTTGTACGCAGACGTCAACTTCAACGGGTGGCCTACAGCCATCTGGCATCTCGGCGCCATTCGGCTTTGTCCTGGACCCCTGGGTTTGCCACAGGTTCTCATCACTTCAGCGCAGCACATGTGCTGAAGATCTATGTCAGGGATTGGCTGAGCTTGGAGGACGAGCAGAAAGCAGTGGTTTTTCCGCAATGCACAGTCAGTGCCAAGCTTTGCACGGGGCTGAGGCATGGATTTCTCTCGGCAGGGATGCTGCAAGCCTGGTTTCCCATGCATGCAGAGGCCAGGATTCAGTGATCAATAGGCAGGTGTGGGACTGTGAGACACTGGGCTTTGGCATTTGCAGGTGTGGAACGCCCCAACATGGTTTCTGTCTGCTTTGACCTTTGCTACTGCCTGCCCCTCAGCTTCTCATCAGCCTACTTGCAAAACATGCGATTATTCGGTTTCTTATTGTTCTTGTTCTAATTATTTTGATTTTTGTTATTCTTCTTATTATTATTCATGCATGGGGGGTTTCCTGGGCCCCTTGGTTGAGCTCAGGCCATGCTACCGTTCGCATTGCCCATTTTGGCAAAGCAGAGCAAAGCCGAGCTTCGCCGCAGCTTCCTTAACTTGATGGCATGCTTCAATCATCCATAATAATAGAAATAATGATTGTTTTTATTATATATGGTAATGACAATAATAATAGTGATAAGAATAACAATCATCATAATAATAATATTAATTATGATCTTCAATGCATGCTCGCCCCTTGCCTCAAATCATTTAACCAGGCACGGGCCTGTTCATTTTTATGATCGGTCTACTGCCGAAGTCCCTGTCTCAGACAACTGGGCTGCCACATGCACCTGCTGGGCACTATTGCAGGGCAAGGAAATCTGATCTCACAAGTGGTTGTTCTCGGTACGTAGTGCTCACATGTAGTCGCGCTTCACGTGTATGGCCTGGGACTTGCAAGGCTGGGCTACTGCTATGATCACCAGGCCCCTGCTTAATGTGAAGAGTTTCTTTTGCTAGAAGCTAGCCGCTAGGCCGTCTAGACACGTGTCCTGTCAGGCGTGGGGAATGCTTGAGGGAGCTATGGCCCCAAAGGTGCGAGTCCCAACTTGCGGTGCTTGGCTTTACCGAAGCGTTGAAGTTCACAGTGCAATACTGATCTCAACCACCGGCATAACCCAGGCTCTTCCGAACCTTGCCATGTTCAACATGCCCGCCGCTCAGGGCAGCAGGGCAGCATGCGCCATGGCGAGATGCGCTACGCAAGCGCAGGTAGCTCATGCACAAAGCCCAGCGGCGTGCGTATGTACTCGACCGTGGTTTACACTTCTCCGCTTGAGGTGATGAGGTTCTATTGTGCCGAAACTGGGCCCGTTTTGGACATCAGAGAGACCAGCTTCCCTCAAGCGAGGGTCGTGACAATTGAAAAGTTTACAGGAAGAGATGATTGCAAGTGTAAGAGGAGCGGACCGGGCCGGCAAATGAATCAGAGTGACAGGAAACAGAGGTTAAGCCCGAAGCCCTCTGCACGTTCCTGGGCTTGATGCTTAAAGCACTGTGATGTTAGAAAGCTATTTAACATAAGTGGCGAACCTGGCGGGGCCCGGGGGGGGGGCAACATAGGGACGATGTACCCTCAATCCGTCCGGTCCTCACACCGCAACAAGTCCCGAAAACATCCTATCCAAACCCTCGACATGAATCGAGCGTCCCTGAAGTTGATTTCCATCAACTTTGTTCATCAAGTTTGACGGTGGAGGGCCTGGCTGCTTTTTCATTGCACGCGTGGGCGCAGCGGATACGAGGCAGCGATTCAACCCATTCTTTGCCTTGATCGAGGCAGGACACTTGATCTTCCGGTTTCACAAAGACACGCAAAGAGCTCTAAGGTGTTGCTTGGAGCAGTGGCATGCCGCCTCGCACGGCCCTGACATTCAAAGACTAGGAATCGTGAGCCCTGAGTTGACACCTCTTCGTCTCAAGCCTTTTGCGCACCCTCAAGGTCATGCTCGATGGTGCAGATGGCGAGGAAAAGGCTTGGGGAAAACTGTTACAAGGCCATTCTCACGAGCAGCTCTGAGCAACTCATTCAGGCACCGAAGACCAACATCGCCAGCACTGGACTCCCACTTCTCGGGATGGTGCCCAGCCTTGGATGCTGCAGAAACTGGACATGGTGAGAGTGGATGTGACAGACACGTCATGAAATGGTCATCTTGAAACTCATGGCAGCAACTGACATTAAAGGACCCAGTTTCTGGCACATGCAGTCTGAAGAATAGCTGCGGCCCTCTGCTTCTAAGATCAAGCCGGGGCCAGTGATTGTTCAAAGCGCTTCCTGATGCATGAGAACGAGAAGTTTAACCGATGGGCTCCTTTGGTTCCCGGTATGGAAGCTTGGCAAGCCCCCCAAGCTCCACAACTAGGCAGACCGAGCGATTTCACAGCCAAGTCGCTTGAGGCTGTTGCATTGGCAGCTGCCGCAGACACCACAGCTCGGATTCGTGCTGCCAGTAACTGCTCTACGCGAACTCCAAGTGGTGTGGGACGGCGATCCGTCTCAGCTGTTGACGACAGCTCACCAGACAAGACCATTCGGTACGGTGCTCCTCTGGTTGCTGCCGTGCCAGTGACTCCGCTTTGGCACTGGCAAGCTTTGCCCCTCCTACCGCAGGCGGGTGGCGAAGCATCGCCTCTGCGGGATCAGGAGCACCGGCAGGGGCGCGACTTTCGGGCCGAACGTGAGGAGACAGAGACTCTGCGCAAGCACAAGGAGGATTTGCAGTTTGAGTTGGCAGATGTGAGGAAGCGGCTCGGTCAGGCACTGAAATCACTGAATTGCAGTTGATTGAGCCCCACACTGTTGGAATCACTCCTGCTCTCCTAGCCGAAACTTGTAAGAATCTTGCCAACTGGGAGCATCTCGGAGCCTGACGTCAGATGCAAGACCTTTGCGGCGAGCTGCAACAAGACAACGCTCACTTGAAGAAGGCGCTGGCCGAACGTGAACAAGGCGCTCAGGGTTTCAAGCCTGAGCTTCAGTTGGGAAGCTGAAGCTGCCTGCAGGTGAGGCCTCCTTGAGGTCCATCCTTCAAGATGAGCGGCAAAGAAGCCAGGAAGTGACAAGGATGAGCCAACAGGTCCGGCAAGAGATGGAACAGCTCAAGGGTAGGTTCAGCCGCTTGGTACGATTAAGTTGCGACCATGCACCATAGCATGTGAATCCGTAAAGAGTTAGCAGAGGCTCCAGCCAGTTTGTTGTGTCACTCCTTTGCACTTGTGGCTCTCCCTGGCCGACCTTTTCTGTGTCAAATGTGTCAAATGCCTGAGCTTGAGCACTTAATTTGCTACAGCCATGCATGCCTGTGCAAATCACGCAGCGCTCTCCGGCACTTGCTTTTTCAATTTCCATACATGCGGTCTCGCTTCTTTTTGCGACAACATGTGTACATCATGCTCCCTCCCATTTCAAGGGTTAGGTTTTGCTATGTTCCAGCTGATGCTTGTTTGGCTCACACGGTGTTGTGCTGCAATTCGGTCCCTGATTTCTAGACAGAGACAGAGAGAGAGAGTGAGAGAGAGAGAGCGAGGGAGAGAGAGAGAGAGAGAAAGAGAGACAGAGAGAGAGCGCGAGAGGGAGAGGGAGAGGGAGAGACCCTGGGCAGAAGAAGAGGAGAAGTACAAGACGACCCTGGGCAGAAGAAGAAGAGAGAGAGGCAGGGTTTAGGAGGTGTGTGTTTGAAGCAGATTGTCAGCTGCTGGGCGAGAGGGCCAAATTCGCGAGGCGGTGTCACCAATCTCGATCCAAGCCGTGTACCTTGCATGTTTTTCCCTCTAAGGCCCGCCCGCTTTTCGTTGCAGGCAACGAGCTGCCGCTCCATGAACTCGGAAACCACGGTCTATGGGATCCCAATGGGGGTGGGGGTGATATCAGACCAGCCCCCCGAGTTCAGAACCAGCCGTCACAACAACGTAGGGGCGCGCCGATTCAAGACTCTCACTGCACATCCAGGCGCACGAACTTCGGGGGGGTTTTGCCCCTCAGGCCCCGTGAAAGAAAGAAAAAAGAAAGAAAGGTTGGTTGGGGATGGGCATCCGACATTGCTACGAGCCGCGTACCAACTGCGTACTGAGGTCCCACGTAGGTCCCACGTGAAACGGAAGGAGGCTCACCAAGAAAGGCAACCAAAGCTGTGTTGTGTTTAAGTGATGGCTGTCGAAAGGGGGACGACCGCAATGGCACTCGATCCAACCAGATAGCAATGCATGTTTTTGCTCCAAAGACACTCAGCTTTGCAAGACATCAGTGGGGGGAAGGCAAGTCAGGTGCCAGGCAGGGGGGAGTGGGGATATCCGGAGACCTCCCCACCAGTGTGTTCAGGCCGCCACAACAATAGAGGGCGCACAAACTGTGGCCCTCGGCCCAAGAAAGACAGAAGGACAAAGAGGGAGGTCACGGTGACTGGACGTGGACCTAGACCGCGGCCCGAAGAAGAAGAAGAAGAAGCAGAAGAAGAGGAAGAAGAGGGCGGGAGAGAGGGAGAGAGAGAGAGAGAGAGAAAAAAAAAATAATAAAAAAAATAAAATAACAGAGCAGCGGGCCATCCGGGGCCGGTCCCTCCGCTTCGCTGGGTAGAAGGAAGCTAAGAAGAGAAAAATAAGAAGAAAAGCAGCGCGGGGATTCGTCCCCCAGGCCCCATGAAAGAAAGAAAGAAAGAAAGAAAGAGCGAGAAAGCAAAAGGGGTTTGTTATCTAGGTGCTGACCTCCAGCGTTTGGAAGACTTGTGCAAGCAGCTCGAAATGGACAAGGCACAACTCAAGAAGGCATTGCACCAGCGAGAGCAAGGTGGGCCATTGCAGCATCTTCAAGGATGCACAGTGCTTTTTGCCGAACTTCAAAAGCCCACAACATGTTGAAGCAAGCTGCCCCTGAGGTGAGAAGTCACTTCGCTCCCGAATTGAGGAAGAGCAGCATACCCGCCAAGACATGCTCAAGGAAAGGGACAGCTTGAAGCTAGAGCTCCGTCGCTCAGATGGCACGGTTAAAATAGGATCGCAGGATGCCAGACATGAAGCGCCACTGTCAGCTCCTGGCGCATCAGGTAAGATGCAGCAGCTCCAAGAGAAAGCTGGGGAGCTCGCGACGCTTGTGAGTTCAAGACGGTGGTTTGCAAGCAAGCCGGTCCATGTCTGTTTGTGCGGTTGGCTTCACATGTCGTAGTTTCCAGTTCTGTGTCTCAAGGTCATCTTCGACTTCGTCAGGCTCCCTGGAAGTTTGAACACCTGGAACAAACTGAAGTCAGACAGTCCATGAAGCAAAGCCTCAAAGAGAGATAGCAAGCTGCAAGCTTTTGACAGGTTCTGCGATGATTGAGGTGGATTTGACCGGGGAGCTGATCGAGTACGCATACGCATGATGGATGCAACCAGCAATTAATGAATCAATCAATGTAAAACAGCACGTCCCACGTTGGAGCGCGTCGTGCCCAACTGTGTTAATGAGAAGCCTCACCCGAAGGCTGCGTGGACTTGCTAGCAGTCTAAGCTGGCACCCTCGACTCAAATTCGGTGCTGGATCTTATTTTTGGCCCGCATACTTGTTAGTGCAGATTCAGCCTACTTTCTTTGTGCTTATTGTACCTTGTTGTGGACTTTGCTTCTGCTGAGATGCGGTGCCACGAAAAAGCCACGCTTGCTTGCAATCGAGGTTGTTGCGTTAACAGTAGGCCACCAGATGGTACAGCCAAGAGGTTGGGGTGATTGTCCTGCGAGCACTTGGTGCGTGGCCCTCAGCAAGAGCAGAACACTACTTGTGCAACAGTTCTGTTGCTGAGATGAATAATGTCCAAGGTTCTGCAGCTGAGTGATCTTTTGACCAGAGCCGGCAGCAAAGGATCTCTCATTCAATTTTGTGCCAGCGCGCCCGTCTGCTTCAACCCAGGCATTGATATTCATACCATTGTTCCTTTATTTCCTTATGAGCGCACATCGGGCCAGCGCCTGCAGCTCAGCACCTTGTGACATACGCATTGCAGACACCTCGTTTGGTGCAGTTCGAATATAGTTGTTCAGCAGATGGGTCGGGAGCGATCAAGACAGCGTCAAGATTCACTGCACCAGAGAGCGGCACCGTTGCCCCGGGTCCTTCAGACAAAGTGCATCAAAGTGCAGTACGTTCTTCAGCATTTTCATTTTAAGCAGGTTGTGCCCAAAGTGACCGATGGCATTGCCAGCCACCTACTTTTTGCTGCAGATTTGGCAAGAGGGTGGCCCTGCAAGCTGTGAATGAAACAGGTGAAAGTCCTGTCTAGCAAGCCATTGGTGACACTGGGCAACCTCGCATTTCCCATCTTTGCCTGCAGCTTAGTCGGCTCTCGGCAAGTGATGCCCAAGCAGTGCTCATTGCACATCCACCTCGTGCCACCATGCTGAGGTGGTGCACGGACCACTGGGCCAGCTCTTCTACAAGAAGGCGTTGCGGTACTTGATGTGGCTTACTTCTTCTTCTTGCAGGAGTGGTGTGTGAGGTGATTGCAAAGAAGCTGTTTGGCGGCACCATGTTGGCCATCGTCGGGCCACAGCTCCTTAATCAGCAAAGAAAGGCAGCAGCATGCAGCACTGATGGCCACCGAGAGTTTTGGAACTAAGTTTCTTCTACGCGTTCTTGGGCATCGTTCTTGTTTCTGCATGGGCCCTGCTCTCAGCTGCCTTCTGCTGAAGTGCATCGTTGGATTTGAAGATGCTGAGCATGAAACTGCTTCTGCACCTGCTGCTGAACAAAACTGTTCCACCAGGTTCTGCAAAAGACGTTCCTTTCCAACAAGCAGGCCGGGGCAAAACATGAACTTGTACATGAAACATGGCCCCGCAGACGAGGTCGGCTCAATGTCGAGAAACGTTGTGGACAAGGTCTCCGCGCTCCTTGGACTCAAGCAGCGAGCCTCTCCACAACATGTCACCCGAAATGGGGCATGGCTTGGTATCTTCGCACAGGTGGTTCAAATGAGAGGGCAGCTGGCCACCAGCACATATTATACAGAGTTTTTTTCCAGCTCCTGGATTGGTTCCGCTTCCTCTGGCGGTTGTTTTGATGATGTAAGACACACCGCTTCATATGGTTTTTAACGGCTTACAGCCACGAGGGAATTGCACATCTCACTGCGAGAAATGCCTGACATGCGAATTGAACCTGTACAGCTTGGCTCAAGTTACGTGGGAATGCAATTTTCGATGTAGTCTAGTCGTTGGAATCATGATGGATGATTCCTTGTTTCTTTCCCGAGGATGGCTCCATGCATTTCCATTGGATTCATTGTTTTTTATATTATATCGAATTCTTCATTCCTTCATTTAAAATCTTCTGATCATTATTCCAGAAAACCTACACATCTAAATTCCAAAATCAGGATTCTCAAATCGAATGATTCTCGTTTTGAAAGATATACATGAATATTTTATATTTGGGAATGGAAAAATATATTTCGAAATAATTT